CTCTCTCTCTCTCTCTCTCTCTCTCTCTCTCCCTCTCTCCCTTTCTCTCTCTCTCTCCCCTACCCCTACCCCTACCCCTCCCTCTCTCTCTCTCTGTCTCTCTCTCTGTCTCTCTCTTTCTGTCTCTGTCTCTCTTTGTCTCCCTCCCTCCCTCCCTCCCTCCCTCCCTCCCTCCCTTCCTTCTTTTCTCTCTTTCGTTCATTTGTTCATTTGTACGTTTACTTTCTTTCTGGTTTTTTTCTTAAGGGAAACTGGAGGAGTGGATCTGTGGGAGAGAGGAGGTCAGGGAGGGGCTGTGAGGAGAAAAGGGAGGGGAACTTCAGTGACAAGAATAAGACAAGTGTATGAGAGAATAAGAGGGTTTTTTTTTTTCAAAATCTAGTACTTGTTTTTAGAGCAATGATTTCAACTCTTTTTTCAGCAGACTGACTGGAGTTTAATATTATTTTCCTTTCCCTATACGTTCCCCAGAAAACTGCCAAAAAGCAAGCTGAAACTGAAGCAAGGGATCCAGATCGTTCACAAACTGAATATCCATTCTCCTTAAGAGATTGAAACGTAGCCGTGTGGAAAAGTGGAATACTTAACTAAAAGCTTGGGGCTCGTTTTGATCACACTGGACGTTTGCCTGTAAGTTATAATAATTGAGCTAGAAGTCAGAATATGGCTCCCACCTACTCTGGCCCTTTTCCCAAAGGAGTTTATGGGAAGTCCCCATGATGAGCCTTAAGGGATCTACAAAAGAGCAAACGCAGCCTCTTAAAGTTTTGGCTTCACAGTGTCCTGGCTGAAATGGTCTAGGAGGCCTACGTGCAAGCAGAAACAGGACAAATGAGAGATCCCACATGACCTTGAAATTTCCTAAGACCTCACAAAACTAAAAGTTGGAGAGCTTCTCCGGATTTCAGATGCAGCTTGCATTCCTCACCAGCTTTCTCTCGGTAACCCTCACAGGCATGATTGATAAGCCCCCGGTTTCAGTGGCCTTGGCAGGCTCAATAAGCAGCGGCTTCAAACAAAATGGATTTGCTCTTGAATGATTCTTCGAATGTATTTGTCACTCACATGTTCCTCCTTAACAAAGAGCATGCCTGTCTTGTTGCTCCACATGCTTTGCAGAACAAATGTAAAAACATTCAAATACCAGAAACATTTAAAGTCAAGCTCGTCCGTGAACTTGAGTTTTGTAATGATGGTCTAATAAACAGGGCAATAAGCGAGTCAGAGAACAGTCTTCCAACTTCACACCAAGATTTCTTTTGTTTTCCCTTTAATACCACTTCTAGACTATAGCTAAAACAAAAACACTTGCTTATATATTTTTAAGACAAAATAAAGTAAATAAGGAGAAAGAATCATTTGACAGAAGTTTTTTTTATTAGCATTCATGAGGAACTTTGATATATCAGATATAAGTCTAAGGAATCAGAAATCAGTTTTCTTTCTCAGGCATTATTATTTTACAGATGCAAACAAAACAGATCAAGATTTTTTTTTGAGAAATCAAGTAGCATTGTTTTATAAGCTATCTTTTTTGAGTTTCTGTTGCTGCAATAGTGCATTGTGACCAAAGGCAACTTGGAGAGAAAAGAGATTATTTCATTTTACAACCTGTAGTCCGTCATCCAAGGAAATCAGGACAGGAGTCTGGAGGCAAGAGCTGAGGTAGAGGACATAGAGAAATGCTACCTTCTAGCTTGCCCACCATGCTTAGCCTGCTATCTCTTAGAACCCTATTCTGTCAGCCTAGAGGTGGCCCCCAACACTGAGCTGAGCCCTCCCATATCAATCATCAATCAAGAAAATGCACCCCTGGCTTGGTCACAAGGTAATCTGACACAATTCTAGCTTGTGTCAAGGTGACATAAAACTATTCAGCACATAAACTAAAAGTAGCTATTCTTCTTGTCACTACATACACAGTGGCTATACTGTCCCTTCAAAAGATGCACGCGTCACAATCTACCAGTAGAAATCTGAATACAGCATCTTCGCAGAGCCTACCTGCTCCCCTTTGCTCAAGAATACTAACCCATATTAAGGAATATTTATGAGGAGAAGGCACATCTGACTTTAATTCTCCCCAGGGATTTACTTTACGCCTCACACACTATCATTAAAGTAGCCTATCTCATGAAAAGAACATTTTATATGTGGCTATCGAAATACTTATTTGCTTGCTTTCTTTTCCTCTCCCTGATTTTATTTCTAAAAATTTGTAATCAAATCCATGCTAACCCATCATAGATGAGCACTCCAGGACAGGTAAAGATACTACAGTATCTTTAAGTCAAGAGTGATCCCAGGAAATGAAAAGGATTTCCCAGGAAAATACACCATTGGTTTCCCTGAGATCAGCTAACATGTACTGTGGGCCACCTGTGTAACACTTCTGAATGTATGGGAAGAGAGGTAAAGGTGACAAATCAAGGAGCTGTAAAGGCACACTGGGCAGGCCAGACACATCAGCTGTAGAGATGAGTGTGCTGTGATGAGCTTGAACACTAGTGAACATGCTGAGTTCATGGGAAGGCAGAGTAGGAGGCTGAGTCCATGTAGGGGTCAAGCAAAGCAAGACTAAGCCTAAAAGAGAGAACTGGCCTCTCAGAGGAGTGCGGGGGGAGGGGGGAGATGGATCAGTTGGTTAAGTGCTTGCTCTGCAAACATGGAAAACTGAGTTTGGTCCTCCAGCACTCAACAGAAGCAAGCAAGCCAACTGGGTGTGGGACTGACTGGAGAGGTGGCTCAGCAGTGAAGAGTGCACACTCCTCTTGCAGGGGTTCAGTTCCCAGAACCCATGATGGGAGGCTCACAACCACTTGTGAGTCCAGCTCCAGGGGTATTACAGAACATCTTCCCTGACTAAAAATGAATCTTCAAAAGGAAAGTAATCCCAGGTAAGCATCAAGGTATTTAAATACTTGATATGCCTGTTATTATATTATATTATATTATATTATATTATATTATATTATATTTATTATATTATTTATTATACTATATTTATATGAGTCCTTGTTTAGAAACTAGATACTCTGACCATCAGCTTTAGAGTCAAAATGGATGAAGGGGAAAGGTAACATTTCAAAGTCAAATGCAAATTCTAAGTGTTTGGGGCACAACTTTCTAAATACACTTCCCTCAAATGATAGCATCATTCTGCCATCAGCAAGACAACTCTACGTCTATCCTGGCTTCCTGATTCTAAAACCACGTTCTCTTCTTCCCCCAGATACATAATCACGGTTTTCATATTAACCCAGACACTAAATGGCGATTCTATAACATAAGCTACTGCACCTCCTAAGAGACTGCTGATTGCCAGAGTCCATTGACTATGTTCAGTAGATGTAGTATAACCACAGGTCACTGAGTCATCATGTTCCTATCTCGTGCACAGGAATATGCCAAGGATACTAGAAATTTAATCCTTTCTAAATATCTGGAAGTATGAAAACAGAAGAAAACAGAAAGGTGATTTTCTTTTGAAAAATAACAGAAAAGAAGAGGAAGTGAGGATAAGGAAAAAAATCAATGAACTACAGTGACTGTAGTAAAATAGTATATTAAAAACTTTCCTAAAATAATTATATCAAAAGTTCTCAGACGAAGTCCATGCAGCTGTTATTCAATATTTCAGTAAAAAAATGCTGGTGAATTTATAGTTTAAAAACTCATCTGGCTGGGCTGGTTAGATGGCTCAGTGGTTAAGAGTACTGACTGCTTTCTGGAGGTCATGAGTTCAAATCTCAGCAACCAAATGACGGCTCACAACCATCTGTAATGAGATCTGATGCCCTCATATGGGTGTCTGAATACAGCTACAGTGTACTTACATGTGATAAATAAATAAATAAATAAATAAATAAACAAACCTTTGGGCAGGAGAGACAAGGGGGCCGGAGCAAGCAAAAAACAAACAAACAAACAAACAAACAAACTCATCTGGCTAATCATCATGCAGTAATAAAATCTATGCAGCGTAGCAACATTATGTAATTACTTCAATTTTCCCAGCTGAATTCTGGGAAAATTCTGAGACCAGGATTATTGATTTAAGTCAATCTTAATTTCTTACTATACTCATAATTGTTACTCCAGCTACAAGTTACAAAAGAATTTAAGAACTTGAGGTTGATAATTAAATTTTCTTTAAAGCAACTCTACACTGTGTTTCTATTATAAACCATTTTTTATCCCATAAGCATAGAACATACCAGAGTTTGGACTATGGCATGATTGGTGGCATTCATATGAGCATTAAGTGGAAAAGAACATTCTCCATCACAATAAAATGCAGCATACCCTTCTGGTGCTATGATCCAGTCCTGAAATATACAAAAGGAAGCAGAGTAGTATCATCTAAATGACAGTAAAGACAGATAATTCTTAAGTAGTACTCAGAGATATTTAACCTGAATCAGTTTCCTTTCTTAGTCCAACAATTATTCTCTAAGTTCTGCTTCTCCTACATCTTTTAATTTTTAGTTGAAATTTTCAACTAAGTATAAATATTTTCACAAAAATTTCTCCCAAGAGTTTACTATATAAAACAGTATACATTAATCATTCTGCATTTGAGAATAAAATTATGAGCACAAAGTAGCATTCTAAATATTGTTTGAACTTGGAATAATTAACTCTGGAGCATTCAAGTGAACCACAAAATGTGGGAAGTAGATAAAGTCTTGAGGGAATTTGTGCTATTGACATGAGCACAACCATGTCAAGGACCCCAGTGATTCATGGGAATGGCAATGACTTCCCTAGGATAGGCTAGAGGAATGGCAAGATGTTCCTTGTGTCAAGCTTAGAGGAATGGTAAGACCTCCTCAAGTTGATGTATGAATGTTGACAACATGTGCAGAAAGTATCAACGGCAGCTTCCTCCTCCAGGATGAATATAGGTTGAGACTGCTCCCCTCCAAAGAACCCCTATCAGGATTAGTTAGCACACCTCCATCTTTTTCGCCTGGGCATAATAAGTTCTGAGTTTCCTTGCTGTGGTTGGTATGTCTCCATCAAAGCACATAACCCACCCAGTCCCAACTTTTCTGTTTATACATCTGTCACTTCTTCATTCCAAAGCCCTGCAGGCCGAGGCCAGTGGTATCCAGTGTGGATCCCTGACTGCAGGGAACACACATTGGTTAAGCAAGGGAAAACTTCAGAGGCAAGTGCAAGCGCATAAAGAAAGCATCTCTGTAAGTCGGGTGTATATCGTGGGATGAGAAGAATCTGGAGATAGACAGTTTGTGCTTTAAGGTGGATTTTTGAGGAACTATGGAAAAAATAAAAGCATTACGACTGCATCTGTGTTTACACTATGTTGAGGAGACATGCCCAGGCACTCCTATTGAGGAAAAGAACTATAAGAATACAGTCTTCAGACTCAAAGAATTGCAGGGTATGGGTTGAAGCAAGGAGTAAACTCACTCCTTGACAGTGAGCTTTGTTTAGGGTAAGAGATCCAGATGGAGATGCTAATGGTTATAATTTGCCTGTTTGGGGGCAACCTGATCCACAGAATAAAAACCAAATGTCAGAGGAAGGAGCATAAAGCCTGGGGTTGGGAAATATCCCAGAGGTTTTATTTCTGTTATGTCTGGTGGTTGTGCCCATGCACAGAAGTCTAGTCCAGAGAGGATCCTTCTGGATCTATGTATTCACCCAGCAGCTTGGTCATCTGTTTCTATTAATGACTCTATGCATTTGTTGGTGACACTCCTCTAACAACATGAAGTCCTAATGGGCTCCATTCAATTATTTGGAGTGGGCTATGACTTAGCTCAAATGTATTTTCCTTTATCATCCCCTTGGGCATTCCTTTTAGAGACCTAGAGATCAACCCTGGTATGGAATGGTACCCAATGTAAATATGAAAAAGATAGAACCCCTAGAACTTGAGACCTCCACAGTATATAATGGCTCTCATCGTGCTCTCTCACTGAAGAAATATAGAGCACATAGTGTTAAGTGGGCCCCTGGCTATGCTCCCTGAAGACATTGCTTATTGACACCATTCATACATGCAAATGTTAGTGGCAATAATGTCATCCAATGGTCCACTAATGGCTCCAGAGAAGTAATGGTACATTATGTTGGCATTTACCCAATCTCCAGCTAGACAAAGGATCTGTATGAAGCTATGGAAGTTGGCAGCTGTCACCAACCTTTTTAATATTGCAGAGTCAATTGCTGATCTCAGCGCACTCAGTGTGAGTAAAGGAGGGTTGCAGCCCTGAGATCTGACACGATTTGATATTTCACACAGATTACCAACACATATGTGTGACAGCACCTCTTAAAATGAAAGTAAATATAATTGGTAACTAATTAAAACCTACTGTGTGTTTGAACACACAATAGCAATACTACAGATATGGCCCAATTACATTGGCACACCCTAGAAATTCAGAAGGCTTAGGGGCAAATTGTCCCCACTGCTAATATTACAAGAAATATCTTCGATGAGTTTCAGGGTTTCAATTGCTCTAACTTGTTAAAACTTTCCTTGTTGGGCAAAATGGCTGTTTGTTCTTCCTTTCTGCTTTCCTTATAGTCTGGTATTGAGCATTGAAACAAAACTCCTTAGAACTAAAAGTAAAGACACCCTGAACATCTAAGTAATAAAAAATGGGGAGATATGAGGGACAAATGAAGTCCAGAGGGGATGTATATTACTAACATTACTGTACATGAAATTTGAGTAGTAGGGGGGATTGTAGGGTAGAGGATGGCATATATAACATTAAAAACCTTTTCTTAAATGCCATATAGAAATATATCACTGTAGAATCTCCCGATGTATATGTATATATACTTACACATACAGAGAAAGTTTTAAAATGGAATTACCCCAAACAATGCTCCTACTAGACAAGACAAACTAACAAATAAAGAAACCCATCGCCAGGGATGGGTTGTTTCTTTAAGAGTTGTCACCAGTGAGATTCTAAGGAGCTCTACACATTACAAGCTATTCTCTATCAGTGCTCTTGGTTACCTTCCAGAACTTGACAATGTGACTCTGATACCACACACTTTAATCATAAAACATTGAGAAATCTCGTGGAAATGATCTGAATGCTTCATTTTACTGGCTAGCTTAGTGGTAGAAGATTCTATCCGTGTTACTGAAGGATAAAAGCAATCATTCATTCATCTTACCCAACTGTGAACTACATAGACTACAATGGTGACTGACCTGCCAAGACATGCCCACTGGTGCAATAGTGGTTCTAATGTCATAGGCATAACCAACCACTTTCCAATTGGATATTTCACATTCTACAAGATGAAACCTGGCTCTAGGGGAGAATCTACTATTATTATGCTGTTAACTGGACACAATGTTAACCAACTCCTAATGACTTTTTATACACATAGGCTACTACTGCACCTCTCATTCCTCATCACAAACGTTTGTATTGCAATAGACAGTGATTAACACAGACATCCATACAAGACAAGAGATTATGGAATAATCAGTCTTAACTGGAACATATACACTATACCTACCTCCTTCCAAAGCTCACGCTGTGAAAGTAACACCAGAAAGATATTAAAAGCCAGAGGCTGTGGAGGACTACAAACAGTGTCTTCTGAACACAATAGAAATAAAGACAATTTGTAGTAGTTGTGACAGCATGCACAAGACCCAAAGCAAGACTAAATATCAGCAGGAGAAGGGAATTGCATATGTAATCCTACCCCTAAACAAGATGCTATTAAAATATTTGAGCAGCACAAATTGGTCTTGGTTTCTTTTTTAAGAAATCTAAAGTTGGAAGAGTAAGGAAGTGGGCTGTACATGGGAAGAGTTGAGGAAGGAGAGTGAATATGATCAAAATATGCTAGATAAAAATTTCAAGGAACTAATAAATATTAAAAAATGGAAATACAATAAAAACAAATATATAGTTTCATCTTAATATTACTTTGTATCACTATTTTAATTTTGTGAATATAATACTATGAAGGTGGCTCATATGCTGAGAGTTTGTTGTAACAGAATACCAAGAGAAATCTGAAAATTTCATATTGCTTTCAGAACTGTAAAAAATTAATTTTTCTAAGTTTCCTCTTTACCTCTTTTTTGAAGCATATTAAAAAAATAAGAGTTTCAAGTAAAAGAAAAGTATTCTTACAAACCTGGTTTATGATTTTAACTTTATAGTTAGAATTTCTATTTCCTAAAGAGAACTGTGATGGTAGTGGTGCTAGGGCAGGTATTTATAATAAGCCAAACACGTATTTTATCTTTATAAAATTAAAAGTTCAAGAGATGCTGTGGGGAAGACTCAGAAGGTAAGAGTGGTGAGTGGGAAAGCATGAGGGCTTGAGTTTGGATACCCAACACCCAGGTAAAAATCGGGGAGACTAGGGGAAGGGTGCCTGTCTGTCATGTGTTGGGTGGTTGATTTGTGCTTCCGTGGAAGTTCACAGGTCCACTGCAGGTCCCTGCAAACAGTTGGTTTTTTAACGTGTCAATAAAGAGCCAGCAGACAATGGCTAGGCAGGGGGATTGAAGTGGGACTTTTGGGATTCCTGGGAAAGAGATGTAGAGGGAGAAGGAGCAGGGTCACCATGAAGGGGAAACAGATCAGACTTAAGAGCCCTCTGACAAGTAAGGATCCAGGAAAGTGGCCCCAGGGACCACTCCCTTAATTGGATCTGGGGTAGGTAGCAGAGATGAAATATAGATTAGGCAAGTATCAACTCAGGAATATCGGAGGGGAGTGTGTCAGGAGTGGCCCGGTCATTGAGCTAGTAAGGCATATTAGAAATTACACTGTGCATGTGTGTTTTCATTCAAAAATCCCGAGAACTCTGGCGGGTGACAAGAAGCATGATTATCCACTGGGAGCTCAGAGCACTTTAACAAGATACCACTATAGTCATGCTTACTTATAATCCCAGGATTTTCTACATTGGAGTAGGAGAGACATGCCAATCACTGGCCCTTCCTGGGAACCACCATAGCCCCAAAGACAATGAGCTCCAGACTCAGTTGAGAGATAATTATTTCAAAGAGTAACATGGAAATTGATGTGGCCTACACACATGCTCACAGACAAGCACAAACATGTGTGTACAAAAATAAACACATTAGTAAATTTGTAATGTATATGCGGGGTGGCACATACTTATAATCCCAGTCCTTAGGACACTGAAGCAGAAGAAGGAATCAAAGACATCTTGGGCTGCATAGTGAGACTCTGATTCATGCAGAAGACTTGGGATATTTTAAAGACAGTATTGTTTTTATCCGTTCTTAAATGTTACATTTAAGAATGTCATATTTCCCTATATAGTTGTTAAACTCAACTCATTATATTCCAATAAGGAAAAAATAATAAGGAAATGAAAATGATGTGTGTAAACCACATGCTGAATAGTCTTCAAAATGGTTATTATACTGAAACAATTACTAACAAAGACTAGACTTAGTAAGGATCTAAGAAAAAACAGAAAAGAAACACCCAAGTTAACCAATCTTACCTGCCATCCCAGATCCCGGAAACTCACATAGAGTTCGTGCTTCTTGCAGGCTTGTTTTTGTTCACTGGTATTATAATCTACGGATTAAAGAAAAAACAAAAACTCTGGTTTTAAACAAATGACTGCTCATTAGGTATAGAGATATACAATTTCGGATATGAGATTATATGTAGATAAGGTTTCTGGAAGAGATTTAAAGATGTAAAACATGAATTTGATACTTGACTGATAATTTTGGCTGTCGATCAGTTTTCCTATGTCGAATGTAGATAATATCATATGCTTTATAAAGATCTGAAAAGAATTCTACTGCTACCTATATGTCAGGCATAGGCTGGTGATGCTATTCACTGAGTACTATTATCTGTGTGATAATTCATTAATTCAGTCCTACTCTCATGGTACTTTATATAAATATGTGATGCATATTTGTACAATATTTTCTGCATAGATACTTTCAGAGCAGATGCCAATGTCTTTGGAGATCTTATTTAAATAAGTGCCATCAATACAAGAGACTCCATTTTGAGTTTCTGATCATCACTCAAATCCATAGCCACTTTAGGCATCTTCATTCATGGCTAATCAAAGTACCCAGGCACAAAAAATCAATCAGACAAATAGCTCAGGCAACCCACTCCCTTTTCTCTTCATTCTCACATCCAATCTGTCAGGAAGTCTCCCACACAACTTTCAAACAGATTTCAAACCCACTTTCTTACAGTTGCCACCATTACTCTTGGACCAAGCCACCATCACTAGCCAGGATTATCGCAGTATTATGAGTGGTAGTCTTTCTCCCCTTGTATCCCTACAATAAAGTGCTAAGTGGGCTTTTGTCGAAATAATTACACATCTGTCTGAAAAAAGCCCAGCATCACTAAACATGAGATATCTGCAGAATGGATACAGGCTTGCTGTGAGTTGGTCCCATTGCCTCTCTCACTCATTTTCAGTAATTCTTCTTCTCCTTACCTTGCCTTACACATAACAACTACTTTCTGTTACACACACAGTTGAATTTGGACCTCATTCAGGGACTTGACACTGCTGTACTCTTTTCCTGGTATTTTCTTGCATGGACATCAACACTAGTAAGTGCTGTATTTTTCAGTAATTTTCAAGAACCATCTTCTGTAAAATGATTGTTTTCTAGCTAGCACATTTAACATTGTAACTCTGATGCCAATAGTCCCCATTTTTCTGATCACATAAACAAGTGATTTATGTTTCATAACACTCTGACCTTCTCTGCTATTGGGTATTCATTACATACATTGCTTCTTATCTCCATTTTCCCCTTAGCATAAATCTTCACCAAGTCAGAAAATCTATTTAACTCTGATTCGTTGATGTATACCAAGTACTAGAAATAGCAATTGATACATAATATACATTTCATAAATATTTGAAAAATTAATGTGCTTATTCCCTACAGTTTTCCATGAGTAATTTAAGACAGATATGTTACTTCTATTACATATTTTGCAATGTATTTAAAAACATTAGAATTTGTATAATTGTTTTAACAAATTAAATCTCAATGTAAAATTCAATTGTGCATCTGAAATAAAGTAAAATGTATTTAAAATGCAAAACTTTACAGAACATTTTTTATGTAGCCTTGGAATTCTCTCCCACTTTTAAAAAATAACATTATAAAAGATTGGTATTATTTCCAATGTGAAAGAGGGAAATGAAAGAGAAATAGATAACTTCCTTCAAAGAAATTTGCATCACTATTTCACTTTCCAAACTAATGATTGAATTGCTAATGAAAGAGTCTCGAACTGGAAATAAAATTGTGACTGTTATTTTTATAATTATTTCAAATGATTATTTGTTTGATATCAGTTTAGAAAATGAGATAGTAGAATTTCCCCCTTATGTAATAATTGAATATATATATATATATATATATATATATATATATATATATATATATATAATTACATAAAGGTAATGAGCAATTAAATTTATAATGGATTCTTGTTCCAAGAGTCTGATGTCATGGAGAGTTATACCTGTACGCTTATTCTGTCAGAAATAAAAATTAATGGGCACTGAGTGAAGTAAATAATTTACCCAAATCATCAAAATCTGCAGTTAGGTTCCCTCTCAATAGTTGGCAAAGTTAACTTCAAGAAGAAGGTCTAAGAAATGATATTTATAGCTTTAAAAATATCGACTGGCATCTCTTAGAAGATTAAATAAAATGGACATAATTTTGCTGTTGATGTATAGGTCTACAGATGAAGTCATGTGCCCAATCCCAGTATACCCACAGATTGCCAGGAATCTTGACCTTCTCCTGGGGCCCCTTACCCCACTTTATAAACCACCAGACACAGACCCTCCAGGCCAGGCCACATTGCATGAAGGCACATGCAGCATATCTGTGCTCCCCTTCACAACTTCTCCCAGTTCCGATCACCATAGCTATTTGTGCCAGATCTGTCTTTAGGCTCAGCCAGGACCAAACATCCTGTGCACGGGGCAAGCCTGGTGAGTCTGCCTGACCTTATCCTGCCTATACATTATTCTATTCCAAGACCTACACCAAGAACACACAAGAAGAGCCTTGCCCAGCCTGATGTACCTGAAATATATCTTTCCAAAGCTCCAGGTTCACACCAGGTGGCACATCCTACACCCCAGCTCAGCTTGCTGGGTTCACATAGGATATACAACCAGTAAAAGATCACATGATCAGATCTTATATTAAAAATAATATGAATGATAAAGACACCACCACCATCCCAGCAAAAATCTACCAATCTTATAGAAATGTTCTCCAGCAGGAATTACATAGATGAGGTCCAGGATACAGAATCTTAAAGAAAAGTCATAAACTTTATCAAAAAAATTATAAAGTATAAATTCAAAGTGAGAAAGCACCTGAAGGAGGTGCAAGAAAACACAAGCATAAGTCTGAATGGAAATGACTAAATTCAATGAAGACAGAGAAACCATTGTCAAGAAATCAAGCTGAAATGAAGTTGTAATTGAGAAACTAAATCACTCAACTAGAAAAGTTCAGGGATTCCATCAGTAGAACAGGTCAAGTAGAAGATAGAATATTAGGACTTGAAGGTAAGTAGAGGAACTAGAACAAACTAGCAGAAAATATCAATTATTTTTAATCACAGGAAAAGAACATGTTGGAAATTCGAGATCCCAACAAAGACAAAATCTCCAAATTATAGATGAAGGTGAATAATCAGAGGTCAATGGCAAAAACCAGATCTTCAATAAGTTCATAGAAGAAAACTTCCACAAACTAAGGAAAAGCATATCAATGGAGCTGAAAGAAGCACACGGAACCCCAACAGACATGCCAGAGAAGACCTTGCGGTAAATCATGGTTATGTCACTAAATACACAGAAAAAGAAAAGAATCTTGAAAGTTGAAAAAAAAACACAAATCACATATAGAGGGGAAACCCACTAGAAAAACATAGCTAATTCCTCAGTGGAAACTTTGAAACCCAGAAGAACCTGAAGCAATGTATTCCAAGATCTAAATAGCACAACTGTCTGTCAAGATTACTGTATCCAGAAAATCTATGGGTCAGAGTTGAAGGAAAAAAGAAAAGTTTTCCATGATCCAAACAGGCTAAGGTATTCATAACCATCAGACAACTCTAAGCAAACTGTGGAAAGAAGTACTTTGGACAGAAAGAAGGAGTAAGCAAAACCAAGAGACTTTAGAAACTCACATACAAAGTGTGACTAAAACCAGCAAAAAAACAAACAATATGACTACAATCAACACATACCTTTTAATACTAACTTTAGATATTAATGGCTTTAACTCTCCAGTCAAAATACAATGGTTATTTGAATGGACTTTTAAAATGTTACCTTTCTGTTGTCTTCAAGAAACTCAGGTTTAAAGATACATATCACCTGAAAGTGAAAAGATGGACCCCAATACAGTGGGAGCAGGAATCAAACAAGTACTGCTCTCCTAAAGCTTGACAAACCAGACTACAAATGGAAACACATCAGAGTAGATAGACAAGGACACTTCATTCTACTTAAGGGAACAGTTAATACATTGAAATCCTAAATATATATGCACCAAGCTCTGGTGAAAACAATATCATTTAAAGAATTTACTACTGGAATTAAAGAAACAGATTAACATCGAACTACTAATAGTAGGTAACTTTAATACCCCACTTTCTCTAATAGAGAGATCATCTGGATGCAAAATAACAGAAAGATCATATAAATAAATGACATATATCAAATGGAATGAACAGATATCTACAAAATATTCCACCCAAAACCCAATTAAATGTGTGTGTGTGTGTGTGTGTGTGTGTGTGTGTGTGTGTACACATATACATATTCAGCAGGTCATAGAAGGTTCTGTATTAAAAAGTACATTCTGAGACAGAAGACGAATCTTTAAAAATTCAGAAATTTTGAAATAACTCCCTGTATGTGACCATAATATCCTATATTGACCATAATGTAATAAAACTTTAAGTTGACAGCAAACAAATCTCTAGTTAGTACACAAATCCATGGAAATTAAAAACTCATTTTTGAATGATGAATGAGTCAAAAAATGAGTCAAGCATAAAAGCAATCAAATAAATTCAAGTTAAAACAACTTGAGATTTTATATCATCCCAGTCAGAATGTCAGGTAATGGACAGAATCAGAAAATAATCTGTAGTGAATGAGGTAAATGCTGCATGTCCATCATCTGATGTGCCTGGCTCCATAGTGTCACTTGTCTGTTTGATAACCTGGAGAAACCAAAGAAACTCAGAGATCAAAAAGGTACCACAGAGAAAGGAAGAAGGATCACTAAAGACTGGAGTAACAGGACATGTAAGATGCAAAGGACCTGAGGAAGGACTTATTTAGGGAGTGGTAAGGGGTCAATACAGAAGGAGTGAAAAGGAGGTTAAAAAAATATCACACTAAAGATGTTTGGAAGAGCCATAAAGGAACATACTATTTTTTTATTTATCCTAAATTGCATATAATTGTACATTTACATATAGATATGTGTTTTGGATGAATTTAAGCCTCTTGGGCTGACAAATGCTCCTGAATA